TATATATACTTACCTATACGCAATTAATATAGCTATCCACTCGAAAAATGCCGCTATATAGTTCAAATACAACCGGAACAATCCGATGTATGAAGCAATATGCGAAAGTTCGAATAATATTCACAACAGTGTCACGAACGTAACTCAAGTTTAAATCAAGCAGCATACCGATTGTGACTTTATTTATAACATAGATTTCCGATTATCTAATGATCCTTGTAACGTACCTTCTCGGGAATCTTTGATTTCGTCGTCCGACGAGATAACAACACAATCATCCACGTCCATGTTGATCAGCTTCTGACTGAGTACGTCAGGTTATGTAATCTTAGACAAATGATATGTTTACTTCGTATTGTTAGACCCTTTGTTCGTATGCCCACAATGCTTTTGACTGGGTAGATCCGGGTGCGCCGACTTGATGTTATGGAATGGTTGAATAATATATAAAGGAACTATTATGCGTATGTGAGGGTCATCCACATCATTGAAGTTATCAGACTTGGCAAACCAAACAGAGGAGAGCGTTTGGTCAGCTCGATTATCGGTACCTCCGTATTGTGTGTGTATATATATCCATATCGTAAGTATGGGCTACTCTCATTCACACTGTATACCTATATATGCTCATATATAGTTATAAGGCAAGTGTGTAGCAATAGGTGGGAGATGTTTACGTGCAAACCTCATTTAAATTATACTGTGCCTACATATCTCCTATTTATGTAGTTAAGCGGTACATATTTAACGTAAATATAAAAAGTCTTGAGACATAAACGTTATAGTGACGGGTGAGGAAGAAAGGGCATAACTTATATTGACTAATAATTGGATTTTATGACCCAATAGTCTGAATAATTTGCATCTACGCACCCAAATATTTGTTCCATATGAATTATACCGGACCAAGCTCGTAAACGTTTGGTGAACGTATTTAGCAGATTGGGTTTTCCTAATATAAATGGTTGTCCTAACGGGAAACGTAATGAGGTCTCCTGACTACGCGACGCTGTTTCTCCGCGCGCAGAAGTCAATTATTCCACAGCCACCTGATCAGTGATAAGACCAGGAGAGCAGGAGCCAGGAGGCAAAATGAACAAAGAGACCACGTCATACGTATTTAAAAGTATACGAAATATGTGAATATCACACAGAGGGACTTGTTATGCAATCCACCACCAGACATAAAAGTCAGGCATGTGGACAAGGCAGGCGTAAGAGGAGCCAGGAGGCTATTGTAACCTGCGGCAGAATGAACAAAGAGGCTACATCATACGCATTTTTAAAAAATATACGAAACATGTAAACAACTAAATATCAGCAATATATTGATAAACTTCCCACCACCAGACATAAAAGTCAGGTATATGGACAAGGCAGGCGTAAGCGATAGGCATAACACAAGCCAGGCATCAGCATTTGGTATACCTGTTGCAAGCATCCATTAGATATGCATAAATAAAGTATAAACACAATACAGCATATTCATATTTAAAACCGTCGTTTGTTCATATTTAAATCTTCTAGTCATTCTTAGCTATCCTATCACATTAGAAGCGCACGAGCAGATGCATTTGTTCCTCACGGGAAAATCATATGTGCTTCGGTGTGAGCATTACACCGTCGTATGTTCATATCTACACCTACTAGTCATTCGTATTTATCTTTCATTCTGTGAGCATTACGCCGTCGAATGTTCATATCTACACTACCAATTATTCTTATTTACCTTTCCACATCGAGATTGCACGAACAGGAGGAGTTGCATATCATTCACCTATGTTTTATTTTGTGCGAGTATTACACTGTACTTTCTTATATATATATACTAATCTACTCTTATTCCGAGGTACCCTATCACCTCATACACCCTTCCTCAGCACTTCATAGCCCCTTCACTAGTTTTGAGAGCTTTAATAAAGCGTCTGGACCTAGCATTCCGTATTGTAAACAAGTCTTGCAAGTACGGCATTTCACTCTCCGGCTGTAGACGACTATACGCCTGCAGGATCAACCCCGAATAGTCCTCGAACCGGGCCAGGCTCAGCGCAAAGTACACCAAATCAGAAGACTCTGTACTGTGCACACTGTCAATAAGCTCCTGCAGCGACATGTTCATGAAGGCACGGTGTTCCACATCCACTTTGAGACACAAGCTGTCGTTCACGATGTCCTTTCGTGACCGGAGGTGATCGCTCCGCACACTGACACTCCTGGCGCGTTTGCCTGTGTGTGTATCTACAACCTTCAGTGCCCCAGTACCCTCTCCCCCGGCATCCGTCACAGACGCACCCAGCTTTCTCGCGCTTATCAACAGATTCAGCGCTTCATCGTCACCACGCTTCACCTCATCGCTCAGCGTCAACCCAGACCAGAACGGCAAGTCAGCCGCATCGTAGTCGGAGTGAGCCCACAGCACACCTCTGAGTCTCATCTGCAGCACCTCCAGTGCATGATACGCCTCCTCCTTGAGCTCCGGATCTATGCGTAGCACACACACCTCCCGGCGCGGGGCCTTCTTCCGGGGTTCGGGTTTGTTGTGTTTAAACTCGGACGTGTTGGATGTCTTGGCCTTCGTCTTCTTCATCATAGCTGCCAACACCCCATCTTTCTTGCTCAAGTTGTTCTGGCTGTCGTTGTCCGGACCAGAGCTGCTGTCATCCGAAGCCTTCCACGTCCCGCTTTTGTCCCGCAATTGCTTCATCAGCACGCTCTTGGTCCGTTCCTCACCCGCAATATCTGCGGCATTCTCCATCACCTGGGCGATGCGGTACAGCGTAGCAAAGTACACTCTCAGATGGTTTAGCCGCCTATCCGTAACCACTATAGGGCCATTAGGCAAGACACCCGCATCGGCCAGCAACTCCTGAGCCTCCGCCAGTGTGGCACCCGCCTTGCCCAACTCAGCCACGGCCTGAGCGAACCCTTCCTTGTCTCTCGCCGGCTGTGTCGGATTGGTTGTACTCGTACTGGTCTGAGGCGAAACCACATACGTATTGTCCTTACGCGTAGCACATCCATCGGGTGTGCCACTGACATCATTACCTGCATCTCCACTCGCCGCTGGGGTGGTCGCATCATCCGGACCACCCAGCTCTGGCCCACTGTATACAGCCAACATGACCGAGGCTTTACGCTCCACTGTACTGCCGACGCTATCCACAGCCGCCCTCAGACTCTTCATAAGGTGGTCGTACGTCTGTAGACACGCCACGCGCGCGTTGAACCCGGCGCTCTGTGGCAGGAACCACATGGCCATGAGAATGGCCATCATTGATCCGAAGTAGTTGCCCGCGAAACGGGACAGGATGAAGTACTCGATGGTGTAGATGGAACGGGTGTGCCAGTATTCCAGGCACACGATAGTGATGCAGATCTGGGTGGACACCGCGGCATAGCCCCACGCAGGACTAACCCAGACGACCGACTCTGACCCCTCAGTGGCAGCGAAGAACACGGTCACCGTGTGCGTCACCGCCAACCATATTATTATGGCCCACCCCTCGTCCTGGAAAGAGAACGAATATTTGTTTTGAGTATGTGTGTATCTATGCTATTATTTAAGAGTATGTATTTACATATAGACGCACACACACACACACATATATATATGCGGGTGTGTATGTGTGTAAAAACTGGGCATGACGTGTGTCACCGCCAACCACGCCACTTCCGCCAAGCCCTCATTTCCTTTCAATAGTTCAACAAAACGCTATGATGTACAACAGAAAACAAGACTGGACGTACACACAACCAGTTTAAATCGACAAAAATCGTCATGGACACATACAGAAAAAATACGATACATATATATATATATATTGGCAGAGAATGAAGTCCACAATATGGTTTGCATACCTGCGAGGACCAGAGAATGAACCAAGACAACAGGCAGCCAATGAGGATACCGAACATCCGCGCCAAGGCCTTATGTGTTGTGGCTTCCAAGGTGGGGAACAAACATATTATGAAGCTCAGCACACTCCACATCTCCATTCGATTGGCTATGGGCACCGCCAAGTACTGTAGGTATGAGTCTGTGTCTTGTTTCTCAGGCCAAACCCAGGTGCGAAATGTGACACTATAGAGCGGGATGATAAACAGTATCAGCAGACCCACACTGTACCGCAGCACCATGTGCACGTTACGCTCGTGATACCACGCGGCCTCACCCCGCCATTTGGCGGTCGGAATGGCCTTAATTGCCCTAACCAGGTGCAGTAAGGGGTTGGCTATGGAAACGATCACACCCCCAAACAACCACAGAATCCCAGGCAGCACCAGATTCTTGACCGCGTAGTCGTACTGGGCGTGTAGCAGATCACGCACAGCCTCGGAGAGCCGCGTGGGGTTGTCTCTGAAGCAGGCGCGCACTTGGCATTGGTTAGCCACACTATTGACTAGCAGACGCTCGACTGTGCCATCGCCATCATCCCCACCGGCCCTGTCCTTGATATTCAGGTCAGGGCTAAGCCTGTCTCCATTGCGTTTGTCTGCAGACTGTAGCTGGGCATACAAGTCAGTCAGATACACCTTATCGTACAGGCTGTACGCCTCTTGTAGGTTTTTTTCCAGTGTCACTAGGTCTTCGGCAAGCGACTCTGATTGCGCTTTCATTCCGGGATGGGGTATCTGACAGATTGCAATGCCACACTTCTCGATCAGATCGCCACACGCGTGTTTCAGATCTGCAAGCGCGCTGAGTACCTCCTCGCTGGCCTCGTCATCCTGATATGAAGAGAAGAATTGCCATTTCGATTATTAAACCCACGTATGAAATAGGGCAAGTATAGCACTATACAGAACAGTACATTTATACAAATACAAGTTTAAGCAATAAATGCTACCTATGCGTACCGCGGGTTCCAAACAGTGACAGCACGACACAAACACTTCAGGATGAGAACAATCTCGATGGTCCAAACAGATTAAAGAGGAAAGTACAATGATACTAGTTATATATATCATGGAGGAAAGTACAATAATATCAGTTATATATATGGCACACGTAGTCCTGACTTACATACAGACTGCTCGCTCGACAGGTTGGTCGCTTTCTCTTTGCTTATATGTTAATGCACAGAACAGTACAATATTCCGTACAACAGCTATATATAACTACACCAACTGCACGAAGGGGTCGTAGGCCATGGCTGTAATAGTGTCCTGTCCGTTGCAAAGTTAATATAAATATATCTATATATTATGATAGTGCTATTCACTCAATACTTTACATCAAGCATACCTCGGTCTCATACACCGCATGCATGTAGAGCTCAGTAGACATGGCACTAATCTTCTCGAGAACTGCCGCCAGCTGCTTGTCTATACGCGATAAAGGCGATGGTGTGAAAATATTCGGATCAAGCGCCGCACCACCCCCGAGAAGGGCTTTGGCGCCAGCCAGTGCGTTGAAGATGGTCTGTGCCAGACTGTACGTGGAAGCAGAAGGTATGGGGCATTAGAACTACGGAACATACAGTGATAGTGATAGTTGTAGTGATATATATATATATATATACATGTACATACAACACAGTACAAATGAATATAGAGGTATGTATGTATACACAAGTGTATATACATATACATATATACATCTACTCTATATATATATATAGCGCGCACACACAAACACCACTATATAACCTAAAAACAATCAAGAGAAGACAGATATGAAAAAACTAACACACCCTATCATATACTTGTCGTTCAAGTCTTCATCGTGCTCGGATCGGTTGACAGAGCGCGAGAAACCTGAATACGCAGTCGTGAATGTGGCAAGCACACGTCCCTGTGATAAGATTCCAGATATACGAAAGATTGCATTAGAATAGTCGTGTCTTACACACTTTCAGATCTAAGTAAAAGTGCATCTGTATACCAAGCCTTGCAGGTAACTTGATGCGTGAATCCGTAGTATATGCCCAACTATGTCATTCAAACCCAAAAGAACACTATGTCATGTCATACCCTACGTAAAGCACTCTTACCATGATATGCCGAGCCTCTCTCTTCATTCCCTTGTACGGCGGTAACAGGAAACACGCCACAAAGAACGCCAGGGCCACACACATATGTTCCACGGCCGTTCGGATATTTGTCAGCCCCGAGTTAGTGTCACCCCACAGAACATTGCTAATCACCCAGGAGCCCGGCGGTATGTAGAAGTACACACTACAAAGCAAGCGATTCGGTATAAGAATGAGTGTGAGTTATAACTCATCGGGTGGTTACGCTTTTGGATATTTGTAGGTACGTTGGACTGTGAAGTGTATAACGCACGTGATTTGTGAATGGCCGTCCTGTGTGTGCGGTACCCATCTTACAGACGAGACATACGCGTATACGCCTAACACCAATCGATATAGTATACGTAGAGATGCCGAACACCAATAGATGTAGTATGCGTAGAGATGTGTCTGCGTGCACGAATGTCAACTCCGACTCTACGGCCGCTTGACATATGCCACTGGATGCCCTAACGCCCTACTGCAGGTATAGGTCAACGATGAGCACTGACGAGACTAACACACAGGTGCTTATCAATAATCTATCAGAGACGTACATATGTTTAGACTAATACGAGACATGGCAAGGGGGCAGATAATAAAAAGGGTTACACGCTTCTACACAAAAGTGACCCATGCATGCACTTGTGCATCAATATGTGAATCTTTGTCCTTATATAGACCCATACCTCACATAAACACTGGTCATTATTCATACCTCACATAAACACTGGTCATTATCCATTCCTCACATAAACACTGGTTATTATGGACCACAACTATGTACCCACGAAGTCCAGTCGCGACCTGGGTGTGGTCAATACACACACAAATACATCATATCCAAACACACATATGTACAACTATATATGCATGTATACGTGCGAATACACGTCTGTACACCCCTCATACACCTCTCTGATACCAGAGACCTTACATATATATATATATATATATGCGCGTATAATATATATGTATATATAAGAATAACCACATAGACCTACCTTGCACCAGGGACTACTGTTACGTTCATGTCAATGCCCGTGAGGGGGCTGTCTAGGGATTCGGGGATGTTAAATATGACAGATGACGTTGCGTTGGCCGACATCATTTCGACTAAAGTATCGGCGAATTCTCTAACAATAGGGTCCAAGTCTAAGACTATCCCAGCCTGCTCAGCTGCTGTGATTTGTTGTTGCTCCTCCTGTATTGGTATGACAAGGCACCATGTCAGATTGATTGGGCCGAACCTCGTACTGAAGCTATGGGATATGTATGTATTGAACAAAGGATGTACAGTGACAGACAGTTCCTTAGGTGTCCCAATCCGGATTAATCAGACATCGTGTAGATTGCAGGCATATCCTGATTGAACACTAACACCGACGTTTACTACTCAAATGACAATATATACTCCGATATACTCCCAAAATAAGAAATTGACTGACGTTTAATGGGCATAGTACGTCCAAAGGTGGGCAATACAGACAAGTACATTAAAGCCGACTACAATACTTGCGTCAGCCTACCCAATGTACACATATATTTAATGACTACATACACATATTCATTCTTCTAAGTATTAACAAACACCAACCGGCACGAACCCACACAATCCCACGCGGACCTATACTACATGCTTGTCCTGTATATACTACATACATATTCTGAATATACTACTGCATATTTACATATTCGCCGAACCCTAAAAAATACAGAAAATTATATGATATATATATATATATATATATTAAAGATCTAGGGTTCTAGGGTTCGGAACGATCACCACCCCCCCCCCCTTATCCTGTGTACAGAGGTAGATAATATGCCTAATAACATATAGACACTGAATAGTAGTATAGGTACCGGGTTACGCATGTTTGTGCACATAACTTACCTCAATAATACTCTTAACCGTATCCTCTGGTACCACAGCACTCAATCCATCCGCCGCACTTGGGTAGAGCGACCAGAACAGCGACGCCATCACAATAATCATCAGCACTGGTAGCAGCCTTCCTATTTTCCCCAGCGGCCCCAGAGCCGACAATCCGAATATCATACAGATGAGGAAGTATACTACTAGCAGAAGTGCGTTACTTCCTGCGAGCACGCATGCTAGTAGAGCCGATGTAACTGCATACGCGAGTATCAACCCCAAGAGAAAGAATGTTAAGGCGGTGATGGAACCTATTCCATGCGGTGCCATGAAGGTGCAAATCATATAGAATATACCCACCAAAATAGCAGTATCGCCGAGTTCCGTTGGAAACACAGATACATAATATGCAGGTATACTTACTGCACCAAACCGCAATGCTCGAGTTACGCGTGAATCAGAAACATACGCCCAGAAGCGATTGTCTGCGAACAAGCGGTTAAACAGACGTGCACCTAGTACGGGATGCGGCCATGTTTCAGGGAGATCGCAGAGAATCTTCCCTGGAGGCGGTTTGTTAACTTCGGATTCATTCTTACTGTTATCATTAATATTATTGTTGGTATCTAGTCCGTCAGTCCCGTTCTGTGCACCCGGTGCCAAGGTTGAAGCTAAATTAAGGCCGCTTGTATGAGCGGTTTTCATATTGTATTTGGCTACCTGTACATTTGCCTTCCCATTTCCCCCTCGAGTACGTATCCTGGGTACAAGCGAATGAATCCAGTGACGTCGACTTCTCATAGATTGATCGTCTCCACGTGCATCAGCATCTACAACTTGAGCTGGCTCTATCCCTTGATCATGTTGTGTGGCATCACTACCAGCTGTGCCTGTATGTGCATTCCGGTGTGTATGTAGCGCACGGATCGAGTTGGCGTGACTGAGTGTATTGGTATCGTCGTCGTCAGTGGACTCTGCTTCATCCCAATGAGTATCGGCAGAACCAACAAAATTCGTCCTATACATGCTGTTTACTAATAATATTGCAAACTACTTTATGTGTTTCAATTGTACTTGCATTCTATTGTTATTGGTTTGGTGTGGAATATGAGACTGGAAGCTTTTCTTGTACAGTTCCTTTGTTATACTTATTACTATGACCCTAATTTTGTACACACACTTTCTCACTTGCTCACTTGCTGTATTTATTATTAGACAGTGAGACCAAATCACCAAAAGCCAAAGCGCTAGGCCAATGATCCTAAAATAAATAACAAGCTCTCTCTAGAGAGAGAGAGAGAGTGAGTAGAGCTTTTTCATAGTTGATTTTCTAGGATATTTGTGGACGATTGGTTAAATTTTTCATTGGTACAACGATTTGAATGACGCCGCTCACACACTCGAACTTTGTAAACGCTTTAGAGATAACGTATAAAAATCGATATCGAGTAGGTCCTATATTGTAAAATAAGGTGCAATATTTGTGTTTTGAGGCGCAATTCACAGACCCTATTAATGAAAAAGATTTTAAATGTTTATAGTAGGTTTGTCTTTTTCTTTTTCATGGACAATACGCGCTATAACTTTTAAACAGCCTCCGGTGAGCCGGAGCCGCAGCCAAGGGAGAGTATTTTTCTCAACATTCCATTGGTGTAGAATTATTCAAACGCCCTCCTATTCGATAAAATGGATTTCATCGAAGGGTATCCCTAAGAATACAATGACTGGGAATCTCCAATTCACCCCATTCTTTTGATGAGAGAGGTATTTTTTTTTAAATAAATACACATGCTACGTACAACAGATTACCATATCTCGCACGTGCACGTACTTTTTAACCAAAAATGCGTTTAAAAAAACCCCCCATATTTTAAATGATCCTCTACTGGTAGTGGAGAGAGAGAAAGTGTAAACTTAATTACGTATTATTAAAATATTTAATATTTAATATACTATACAATATACACCCAGCCATTGATTAACTAATAGTAATAGATCATAGTAGTAAATAGTTAATAGTACCGATTGTGGATCATCGAACAGCTTTAACTGAATATTATGGATTCGAAGCCAGACAACACTGCCGTAATGACAGATACATCTACCTGCACACCTGCTGGCGAGAAGCATGCAGATACGATAGCTGTACACTCTAGTGACGCGACTAGTAGGGAGCAAGAACAAGAACATGCACAGGACGTTGAAGCAATGGATGTCGTGAAAGAAGACATTACGTTAGAAGAAGATTTGACGAAACAAGAGAATGAGGTTAAGGCACAGGTTGTTATTGCCAGCGAGGCCAACGATAGTGATATGTTGAAAAGTGAAAAGGAGGTGATCTCAGAGGCCGTTATAGAGATGGACAACAATGCACCCAGGTATGCAGCAGATGGAGCTGTGCCTGAATTCCTGGTGGGAGTGGATGTAGGTATCATTGATGGAGAAGAGATTATCCGAACGAAGGTACTTGTCCTGAACTATGGACTACTAAGCTAGTGATATATATCGGATGGCATATTTAAAACCTGTTATCTTCTTTTGTATATATGCACATGGTCGTGTAATCCTGTATATTGTGAGATTATATATATATATATATATACATATACATATAAATATATATACATATAAAATATTTAATTTAAAAATTAAAAAATTAAAATAATATATATATATATATATATTTGTTTGTGTGTGTGTGTTTGCGTGCCTTTGTGTGCATGTATAATATATATATATTCGTATGTGTATCTGTATATCTGTATATATTCATATATATACAAATTTACATAAAAATTTATGTATGTATTAATATTCCATCCATATATATATATATATATATATATACGCATATATTTTTATCTATAGATAGCTGTTTAACAATACACACACACATACACACATATATATATATATATATCTATATATATATTCTATGAAGTAGTCACTTAATGACATCTCCTTAAAGTAATTATCTGATTATACTTAATTTTATGTCTACTTGTTTACGTATGTGTATTCCCCTGGTGAAGTGTGTATCTAAATCTTTCTAGCTGCACTCCATCTCTTTGCTCAATATCTCCATATCATTTCTCTGACAGGCATCGGATCCATCTACTGTACCGGCAGGCGCCCCTAGCGACGTAAATACGACGTTGGAAGAAAAGCCAAAGATCGAATTAGTGTTGGGTGTTGACCCTACAAAGGTGGAGGACATGACAGCACCTGCATCCTCCAGTGACGAGGAATCATCGAGTGATGAAGAATCTAGTGCGGAAGAGGTATGCGTGGTACGCGTATGTATGCAAACTTGCCTGTTGTTTTCTGGATACGTATACACATGCCAACTCGTGTAGGCTATTTATATAAACGTCTGTTGCATGTTTTAATGTATAGTTAATATATGATTTCGTAGTAGTGATACTGCTTTGCCACACCAATTCTTGTGCACCTGTGTGCCAATAATGTCATGCCACGGGTCTGTTATCGTAATCATATTTGCGGAGGCTACATCATTGAGCAATTGTTTGTCAAACCATCGCAAACAACGTGTCTGCGGCCCGGCGGTGGAGATCCATATATTCGTATTTCGTGTAGTAGGGATGTACTAGGGCACGTACTTGTACGCTGCAATACGAATTTTGGTAGGCATGACAAGAGATATAAATGTATATCATGTCTTGAAGTCGTGTACTACATGTAATATAACGATATTTTGGATCAATATTCCAATTTCCCAATCCCATTTCGGTCCGCAAATCGGCACGGCAGTCCGAATCCGAGGACGAAATACTCGAAGCCGACATCCGGTCTCTCATAAACAAAGCCATGAACGACGTAGACGCACAGATCGAAGAGGTTACGCTCAAGACCGCAAACGAACTGCTTCTCGACGATTTGCCACCCGAAGATGCGCTGGAGGTGGACTTGCCTGCGCACGCAGATTTGGCATACATTGGTACTGTGACGTCCTATGTGGATGGATTGGTGATCGTCACAGCTAAGAGTGGTATGTTGTGTGTGTTTGCGGTGTGGGTGTTGGGTATTCTGATGGTGGTTGTGATATTCTAATGAAGGTACTTGTGTGATTGTATGCAACTGTGCATAGTAGCTGAGTATCTATCTGTATACAGCCATTTGTGTTGGTTTTGTATCTGTATATAGCTAATAATGTTCATGTATCTGTACATTATATATAACGGTGATGCTGTGATAGTCGCAGTTACAAACGCTCCCATCCGGTTCTTGCTGTGTGTGCTTCTATTATATATGTCTAGTACCTTGTGGTCCTGATGCGTTTAGTCAAGTTGTGCACATGTGTTAAGGTTGTGACCACTCGTCAATGCAATTCATACTAAGACTTACAGAGTGGACGACTTGATTAAAAGTGAATCAAATGTAGTTGGATACCTCCTGTACGCGGTAGCTACATATGCTCCGATTCCACACATAATCATAGCCTCCTAAACTAATTACATTAGAAGGCTATGCGATAATGTATAAGTTGATACCCTAAAATCCTAAACCTTAAGTTTCTGCATCGTAGCACCTGAACCTTCGCACTCGCTGTGGCCACCATTACCATTGAGGAAAAACAAGTACCTAACCCATATCTCGGGTTACTACAAACTTCAGTAACATTCGTATCCGGTAACGACACCATGTTGTTTGTAGGTGCATTTATACGATTATTGATACACGATTAACTCGTATTAACGTCAATCTCATACTGGTAACAGAAACCATCGCTTTGGATGTGGATACCATCCTGTTTGTGGACAAACAAACACCTTTAGGGCGAGTGTGGGATGTCTTTGGACAGGTCGAGCAACCCTTCTACTCAGTGAGACTGCCCTCCAATAGTGCGTTTAGTGACAAGCCAGAGGTTCTGATCGGAAAGAGCATCGCGTTTGTGCCGAACATCCCGGATTTGGCAAAGTTCGTGCTTGCTGCCCAACTGCGCAAATTCAAGGTACGTATATATATATATATGTATGTATATATATATATATTTATATTTATATTTATACATATATTTAAATATAAATATATGTATCTGTGTAGGTATGAAAATGTTTCCCTCTTATGTATGTATGTATGCATGCATGTGTGGATGGATATATTTATGTATGGATGGATGGATGTACATTTGTATGTATGTATATACGAATGTATGTATATACGTGTGTATGTATATACGTATGTATGCATGTACGCCTCGCACTTGTTGTGTGCTGCTACTGCTTCTCCTAGAATAGAATTCATTATTTGACCCATTCAAATTCGGTGAACTTTGTTTTGAGCAGCAATATCATTCCAGCTTTGCGCAGTGTGGGGGTGTCTGTGGTATCCCATCGAGTCTGGCTTGTTCACCTATGTTCCGGTTGCCACTCTTACCCCGACACGCACCACCTGACATAGTGTGCAGCGAATTTATTTGCGCATCTGGGCGCGTATCAATGACCGAATTATTCGTAGGAATCTGGCGAATATTGAGTTTAGAGTATCAAGGCCACTTCTATTTGTACCAACACACAAGGCATTGGTGTACATATATATATATATATATATATATATATGTATGTATGTATGTATGTATATTTATATATATATATGTTTATGTATATATATATATTTATATTTATATATATATATTTAAATGTATATATATTCATATAGATATACATATATATAAATATAGATATATATATATATTTATATATATATATATATGTATGTATTTTGATATATAAATATATTTTTGTATATATATATGGTATCTGTAGATCAGACTATCTGTGTGCATATACACTTCCTGATCCAGTATAGCGTACTTCTCACCAATGCACAGGGCACGGACGCTTCGTGGCAACACGATGAGGAACCCCCAGAGAACGAAATGGAGTACTCAGATGACGAAGAAGAGGCTCTCGCCAAGCAAGAAAGAAAGAGGAAGAACCGGGCTAAGCATGCGTACGTATACTGCTTGTCTTTGTATGACTTGTTGTGCTGGGGTTGTGTCGCAGCTGTTTGTGTGCTTGGTGTCATGGTGGTTGCATCGTAGATTGCACTTGGCATGTCTATGTAGTAGATAATTGCCTGTTGATGCTATGCGAAGTTTGATACTATATAAGGGTGTGTTGTCCATATTAGTAGCGTCACGTCATACCTTCAGCGGGTGTACTGATCTGTCGAAGCGAAAACGCACATCGGGTTTCTCACACACTTATTATTATGATGATGCTGATAAATAAGGCTACAACCAATCATAATGTCCCCTACAACCGTACACTTCATGTTATAGAGACGAATACACTTCCTCTGAATATGTTGGTCTTCAAGGCGATGTGTTTCCATCAGTTGTGCAAGCAATTCTTTTCGTGATACTTTAAAAGCCTTGTTGTAGTACGATCGTGCGCCTATGTAGCACTGGTACTAAATATTTATTTCCGGTTGATACTAACAGTGAGCGTCAAGGTATAGCCCAAGATCCTGAGGTGATCGATGGGGAGTCCAGATTACGACAGCAGACTTCTGGCACAGACCGAGGCCGAGGTGGGAACAGGGGTCGTGGGGGGCGACAAAATAACAATTACAACAACAATGACCGACACAACGATAATAACAGACATGGGGGGGGTCAGGCGTATGGCGGTCACGGTGGTAATCAGGGCGGGTATTACAATAACGCGTATAACCAGTACCAACCGCAGCAATCACAGGGATGGAACGACGGCTATCAGAATAATAACTACAGCACCAATCAGAACCCGTATAATGGTGGTTACCATGGCAACGTCGCGCAGGGGCAGTACGGCATCTACCAGGGTGATAATGCACAGCAGAACTACCAGGGCCATCCCGGCAACAACCAGTACAATACAAGCAACTACAATTCACTGGGCGGATACGGTAACGGCTACAATAACCACACCAACAACAACCACGCTTCGAATAACGCCTACCCTCAGCAAGACTATGCGACCCAACTGGGCATGTATAGCCAGACTACTGCACATGGCCAACAAGACCAACAAGACCAAGGCCAGGGTCAGAGTTAGGACCAAGGGTCTGGTGGTACACAGCAGAGCCAAAGTCAATACAATGGAAACACGGACGTGCAACGGTAACTGGTCACTCTGTGCCATTTAATCGCTCACTCCGATCTCCGATGGACGCTTGGATTGTTCGGATTGGGCTCGAGTATTGGCATTGAATAAATTTAGTATTCTATTCATAGATCGAGAGGTTTGTGGATCCCTTTTTCGTCTTTTGTCTACAGCCCACAGGGTATCACTTATGGTTTTAAAAAGCTAGTAAGAGTTGTAGCTAGCGGAAAAGAATATCTTATTGGAAACTACTGAATTGAGAACGATGACTTTCCTGGCCTGAATATAGGGTTTCAGTTCTATCGAAGATAGATAATTTATTGGTAACCACCGATTTTAACTAGACAATGAGTTTACAGGTTGCTAGTGAAGATATATAGCTTATTGGTATAAATCACCGAATACTATTTAGGGACGATGACGGATGAGATCTACACGGTTCTATCTAGTGAAAATAAAGAATTCATTGTAACTCTTGAATACTATTTAAATTTTTAATAGGGACGACGAGCATAGCCTTCTAAAAAAAACACATGCGACGAGTCTACAGGGTTGCTAGGGAAGACTGAAGAGATATAACATATAATATAATGGTAAAATTGAATACTCTCTCCCTCCCTCTCTTTCTTTAGAGAGATGGGGATGATGGATGATCTAGAGTGTCTGACTTTTTCATCAACTCATCTGTAAACGAAACATTCAATCTGATATTTTTATCATCAGATCACCAATTCCTTTTTTAAATTTTAACAACTGGTATTTAATAACATATTTAAATTGCTCAAATATTTCTATAGGAACAGTAGCGGATATCCACCTGGGGTTAGCCCTGTTAGTTGTACCAAGCATCACACCGACATACTTTTGTTCATACGAGGCAAAAGTAGCTGCCTGCGAAGCTCACGAACACGTACAATCTATGAGGAGTATTTGCGATATACCTTCTCAACTTGTGCATACGTTGTGAGTCCACTCGAAGTGGTGAGTTACGTACTCGCCCTGACGTAGACTATAGGATACAACTGCAATATCATACCATCGATGTTGCCGTTCCCAAATCCTTTTGATCATTTTTGTGCGTTGCGTTGTAGAGGATTCAAAACTACAAAACATTTTTTCTACTCAATAAAACTACACATAATAGATTGATAGTCATGTACGATAACAAACAATCCTTAATTTATAGGTCTATATTTCTCTAGATCGTGAATAGCATAATTACATTCTCACTAGTGCGAGTACTAAAAAAGACGTTTACAGTGCTGGACAGGTACTACTTCAGTCTGGTTGCCTAGGTGGATGATTGGCTGGAGATCTACACAATTGTGTTTATTGTTGTGTTTATTATAAGAATTGAGTCTCGGAAACTAGAATTCTCGAGAAGGGATTCGAACATTTACTGCGAGAGGGCACAGTTAAATGTGAGAGGGCACAGTAGCGCAAGAAACAAATTCCACTCGGAGGGTCTAGAATCACAGCTATATTCTATACTGGAGACGAGACAAAGCGTGCTCAATAAAGCTCACAGTTTCTTTCGTGTTCTCCTTCGCAGCGTATGCATACAGTTACCGAATTTTATAAGAGGCATGAACGAATAAACAATTCATACTGCATGTCGCATATCGACTAACAAAATTTTATTTAATACTATATCACACTGTCTGTGAAGTAACAAATAACAGCGATCAACTCCTATTTACAAGGTACTCAGCAGTATTTTGGATTGTGCACGTACAGGAAAATTTCAGTAGGTTCAAAGAACTAAGAATAGCCTGTTTGTTGAAGTGCCTAGCGAAGAGTGCGTCTACGTTGGGGTGGGTTGTGATGGAGCAACTGGATTTCACGTAGCAAATTTGAAGGCGTAGTCAGGATTTTCATTCTATTATCCTAATGATCCAACTAAAATATAAACAGGGAAAGACATTGACAAACAAGGAAGGCGTATAGGTCGAGATTATTATTTTATTAAGTGAATTTAAGCATGGTATTATGTGATTTTCTTCTCAAGATGTAATTTATGCAGCAACTTTCGTATCAGACTGTGCCGACGGGACGCCGGCAATGTCGGAGGGCTAAGATTTGCCAGACTACTCCTTGAACTGTTATTTGAAGCCGTTCTGCAGATAGCGGTAGCGATGTTAGTATAGTGTTGTTCCATGTCGTCCTGCAATGCATCTTGAGTTCTCTCACCCTCGTCTCGTTTCTTGAATATCGAAGATAAAGAGCCCATGGGTATGAAGGGACGGCCCTCACTGCCAATATCACCGATATTAGAATCGATAACGTCATTGAAGTCCAAATCAGATACATCGTTTTTGTTCTGAATGGAGCTTATAGAGGTGGCCGATGCAATACTGCCCCTACGGAGAAATAGATGTGAAAGTGAAGTGATTGTCGACAAGGTGCTCATCTTTGACACTCTTTGCGGCTTGGGACTGGCATTCATCATGCCCATTGGTTTGTCAATATCGACTCGGAGTTGTTGACACTTCCAGGCTGGTTGCGTAGCGCGCAACACATCCTCTCTTCGGTCAACTGTGGATTTTCCAATACCTCCTAGGTTCGAGTATGTTCGTTTGGAGTTGTAGGCACCGATGGGAAGGGTGTGCGAGACAGTATCTAGCTCCTCTCCCTCAACGTCGTTCTCTTTGATATCGCAATCGGGATCTTCTTCGCAAATTTCCTCACATACAGACTTTTGAGAAGACGAACTTAGTGATGAATTTGGCAAGCTCAATAAAGATTCAGACCCAGAATCAGATGAAGTACTGGACTTGACGCTAGTAAGACTTTTTCGGCGCACACCGTGACATACAGGTGTGGCGCCCTTGTCCGCTATACTATTCCTTTTCCTCCACGCTCTCCCTGATTTTTTACTGAGTGAACCACACGGCTCTGTGTTTGGTATGCTTGTCAACAATTCAGGTGACCGGGCATTGTTGCTGTTGATGGTCCTGAACATAAACTCTGCAGAATTCTTTCGGTATTCTGTGATACTTTTTTTGCGTAAGCTTGAGGTTGCGGCGCGACCGGCATGGGGGTGAGATGTGCCCTTCAACTTACGCGGGTGAAAAGAAGACCGCACGTTATTTGTACTACTTAATGTTGATAATGTTGGCGTTTGTTGCAGTTTGCTATTGATTTCCGATGCAAACGCGTAATTGGTCACAAGACCTGTGCCTTGTCGGGCTTCTTTGGAGAAATTCATGGCGTGTGTTGGAGACATACTCGTATTGGAATTTGCACGAGCACTGTCTGTATTTAGTATCGATTCAGTATGTAACAAATTACCACAGTTGACAGATCGATTCTTCACCAAGGAAGACTCGTAAATAGGTGTTACCGTCTTTGACATGACATTATATTTCTTAAATTTGATGGGTATTGATTAGATTTGCGCATGAAATCCGAGACTAGATACTTGATGTATATTTGTATTGCTTGTTGTATATTTACAAACGTACGAATGGACTATTTTTGTATATATTACACATACGTGTACGTGTACGTGTACGCTATTTGATGTACCGCTTCTATACAGACTGACCATATGACCATCGACGTGGCGGGCTGGCGGCATATATTGATTTTTAGATTTTACAATCTCCGATTCTCCGTCTGTGCTTTTTTTAGGTCTCTTCACTTGGCTCGGACGATTTTTAGTATATTTATTTCTACAAATACAAACAGGAAAGATGACAGATTTTTAGTGATCTTTTTATATATATATATTTTTTTGAAGTAAATACATAAATCTGAAACATATCTTCAATATATCTATTCTCAAAAAAATAATATCTGCTCTGTATATCAAATTATCAAATATAAATCAACTAATAATCAGCAATTCAGCATGTGTCGGGTAAAAATTTCAGAAAATGATATAAATGAGAAATCGAATTCTGTCATCGTGAGTGTCCTCCCTGGAGTCCCTGGCCGACATCGGGGATTGGGTTTTTGGACTCTGAACCTTTCCACTGTTTCCACTTTCCAGTATTACCTACATTCTCGCTCAGTCTCTCCCTCTCTCTCTGTGTAGTCTCTCGACTCCTTGGACCTCGGACCTCAAGTCTTGTGCTTTGGTCATGGTGCTTTGGACCGGTCTCGAGCAAACACTATTTTTTAATATTAAAACAAACGAACCACTGTACATACCTCCCGCGTCTACTCTCTTCAAGAGACTGTTTAGAGCTCGCTCTCTCTGGTAGACTCTCTCTCTATAAAGGTTAAAAAGTATAATAGTGGTCTCTAGTCTCTCTATTACTAAATATTTAGTATTTATTTAGTCGAGAGTAGTAAGGGTGTTGCCTCAAGTTTCAGGAGTGTGCTGAAATTTGAAAATCGTGTGTGTGGAGTTTGAATTGACTCTTATTATTTATGTTGAATAAAATGCAGTCACCTCTCATGACTCACCAGTCATATAGCATTTCGGTAATCGGTATAATATAAATATAAATACAAATACTCTGTTTTTTATGAGTGTTCTGAACTTCGGAGCTCTGACGGTCTGATCTGTGCTGCTGTGCGAGTTCTCAAAAAGGTTCAGGAATTAGGCTCAAGGTCAGCCCTCAGGCCTTTTAGGGCCGGGCAGGCTCAGGGCTTCAGGGCTCAGGGCCTCAGGGCACAGGCTGATCAGTCTGAGTGCCTGTGACTATTTTTTAAATGACTTATTTATTTTGGTTTTTAATTTGCCCACGCCGCTCCACGCCGCACGGCTACTGGCCACTGGCCGCTGCGGTTCTGGCTTCTGTTTCATTTGGAAGGCTATGGCCTTTCTCTCTTTCTTTGTCTCTCATTCTTTGTCTCTCTCTTGAGTCTTGACTGAGACTCTCGGTCTTTCAGCTTTCTCTCTCTCAGATTGCCGAAACACACTTTTGTTTCGCGGTCTACTTTCATAGAATTCAAGGTTTGAATTTCCTATACTCTTTCTCTCTACTACGAGAGTAAATATTTAGAGAGGACTCGCCCTAAGGCTGCTTTTACCAATTTGTTGAGAATTTGAAATTTTAAGAAATTGTCAACACAATGCTCATTCTAAAATTTCTTCTATCTGTCCCGTTTGCCAACTACAAATTTTAAAATGTGATCCCTTTTAAATTGTCCTCAAAATTCGATTTTCCACAATTTCCTTGCCATTCTGATCTTCCTTGAACCCTAAAACTACAGTGACATGTGTGTGTTTTGAAGTGATATATACGTATAACTACACACATAAACGCACAATTGATTCATCTACATTGTCAGTTTTGAAGCCCGCGCACCAATGTGAACACAATTTGCACGGGCCAATGGTTGATCACTGATTATTCCAACCAATGGATAGGGCTAACTGATAAAAGGCAACAGAATTCACAACCGCTACAATTTCAACGGATGTACGCGTTTGTCAACTTGAAAAAAGTACTTTTGAGTAAATTCTGGACTGCCCTGTAGCCAGAATTTCTTGGACTGTCTAGAGAATTTTCATTCCCATTCTGAAAACGAAATTATCAGAGATTGTGACCAAAATTCGAAAATCCATAATTTTTGCAGAATCAGAAAAATTTGACAAATGAAGCCTAATAGTGACACAATTCTTTTTTAGATTTATTTCACATTTTTTTTTCCTATATGTATATAAAATGTTTCTAAAAAAAAGGGACTGCACCCATACCCAGGTCCCAGGGCCCAGGCTCGGCCAGCCTGGGGCTACATATGTAGTACATACCCCACTCTCTCTCTAGCAACAGTCACAGTAGCAACTAGCCCACTATACTATAGTAAAGAGCCAGATCCCTCTGACCCTTTCAACTCTGTGACTGTCCTCTCAATCCGATCGACTGTAAATAGATCATAGTATTTATAACCAGTGACGTAAATGTATAGCATAACTCTAACAGTAAATACTCGCAGTTTCGCACCCACTCTATTGGCGCCTGGCAGCACAGTGAGAGAGATGGCAGCTTGGCGGCCTGTTACATAGCAGGCTAGCCGCCCGCTGGCAGTGACTAGTACTACTGGCACTTAGCAGCCAGCAGACTGGCACCTGAGTCTTGAGTCCTGAGTCCTGAGTCCTGAGTCCTGAGTCCTGAGTCCTGAGTCCTGAGTCCTGAGTCCTGAGTCCTGAGTCCTGAGTCCTGAGTCCTGAGTCCTAGTAGCAAAGTTAAACAGTGAGCACTAAGCGCTGTAAACAACTGGGGAGAACTGAGGAGTGAAAACTACTAGAGTAGGGAGTGGGGAGTGACTGGGGACTGGGGAGTGAGGACTGGGTCCACTGGGGTCTGGGACTCTGAGGAGTGATGGAATATGTAGAGTGAAAGAGATCGCGCCATAATCTATTTTTGTCACCATTATGACGGACACGAGTCTCTGACGTATTCATAATTAGAGTTTGTTTGGACTTCATGTCTCTTGAACATATCAATTTGGAAATTGGAATATGTAAATACTCGATACAGTTTCTTTTTTTTTTTAAACATAAAAGCCTAAATGCAACAATATACGTCCCTGCCTATCACTTATGAAATTATAGTAAAACAATATTTTGTATTTTTTTTTGGTTCACTCGTGTTTTCTGTTTTGTGTCAATATAAATTTGTTATTTGTGCTTAATAAATTTTGTTTTTAAGAAAAAACAATTAAGGAAAAAAAATGTGAAATGTGATGGCTCTCTCTGGTTTGCCAGAAAAGATGAGGTATTTTCAAGACCAATTGTATCGCGAAGAATTATTTTATATAGAGTATCGATCACAAGTCTTCGTAGCTCAAAACATATCGGCAATTCGGCATTGGTTTAGATATTTGAAATGATAGACCTACCGGCTGTGAGTGACTGAGTAGTGAGTTCACCGAGTACCAACTCCACGAGTTCATAATATGGACTGATGGAGTTACCCCAGCAGAAAGTAACAGTCATTCTCTGTTTGGCAGACTTTGAAGTCTGAACAGTGAGCAACTGAACACTTGTGCTTGTCTTCAATCTGCAACTGCACTCTGTACTTTGCAGTTCTGCACTCTGCACTTTGCAGTTCTGCACTCTGCACTTTGCAGTTCTGCACTCTGCACTTTGCAGTTCTGCCTCTGCTATGTAACTCTCTCTCTTTTTTCCTAGCCTCATGAAAATATAACACTTTTTTTATATAAATATATCAAAACTCTTGTATGAGTCATGCGAAGCATTGAAATTTGAAGGGTAACTGTTTTGATGGGTTCGTTTTCTCCCGAGGTTCTATTCGTAGATTCGGTCAGGTTGTTTCAGGGCTGCCCTGCAGGCCTGCACCCTTTTTTTTATATTAGTCAGGTCGTACTATGAGCCAATCGTATATATGATGATCAGCTTCTCTCTCTGTAGGAGTAGGAGGGCAGTTACTAGTCAGGGTACAAATGTGCCACACTATTTCGGTTTGTCCCCGACGGGCGACGGGCGACGGGCCGACACACGGGGATATTTTTTGCATCGTTATCCCCCCCCCCCTCTGTCAGCCTGAACCCCCCCTCTATATTTCGATATATTTTTGTATTTTTTTGTTTAAAACAAAACAAAAATCCAAAATAATAAAACGTACTCTCGCTCGCGTAGCAATTACACAAAGATAACTAATAAAATACGAAAATAAAATATTAAAATACAAATACAAATGTTGTTACTTGAAGTGGTACATAGTTGGTACAATGTACAATGTTTTAAATACACGCCAATAGAGAGTCGAGGAGAATGAGTAGTTCTATTAATACAAAAGGTATGTGTTTAAAATTGTTTATGCTATCCCATTTTCGGAAATATATTTTTATATAAAAAAATACAATTGTTGGCAAATCATTCACCGCATTCTCAATTTCCAAGTTTTCTCCCTTCTCTTTCTGTTTTCTCGCTCTCTCGTGTTTGCAGAGCTGTGGCCTCAGTGGCCTCAGTGGCCTGTGGTCTGTGACGCTGTCGAGGTCTACTACTAGCTCTCTAATGAAAATAGAAGTAATCGATCAAAAGAAAGAAATGTAATGTCTCTCTCGGGCCTCGGAGGCTCGGGGTGTTTTTTTTCCCAAGCCCTTTGGGTCGGGATTTAGTTATTGCTATTTTAGAGAGTAGGGAAATATGCGAGGTGTGTGATGAGCCTTGAGCCATTGGGCATTGGCCCTTGAGTCCTCGACTACGTGACTTTAGACAAAGTAAAATCTGTCATAGCCTTCTCTTATTTTAAAATAAATTATATACATTTGTGTACATACTTTTTTTTTACGCGAGCATATGCTATTTATACGGCTCGGTTCTTCTCCTCCCTGCTTTGGCTTTTTTTTAATTATATACTAGTCCAATTTATTTTTAAAAGCACATTTTCCAATTCAAAGTCTAATCTATAATAATCAGTAGTCACATTTGTCGATCCATAATTTTAATTGGTTCATGGCATATTATATATGTCATGTTTCGCACTCGAGAAATGAACTTTTAATGTTTTATGTGCAGCATATTGAGCATTACAAACCCGAAAAACAATTGAATGATTCTTCTCGGCTAGATTCCAAGTAAACGCCAAAGCTTTATTTCGTGACTATGCACTCCTGCTGGTCCTTCGATCGAAAATTGCCAATTTTCGAAGAGCATATGATTAAAACGATAAACATAGTGGTTATAACATGTATTCCACTAGTAACCCTAATCCAATAATCAACCAAGGATACTGTAAATGAACATGTCACGGACGCTCTACGTCACCTTAGATGTTCGCTGTATAGTGCAGCCATCACCAACGCCAATGGATTGCGGAGTGCTGGCGGATTGCAGAGCGTGTCGAAATATGCATAGATTGGAGGCGCAATCCGATTCCAACCCCAGCAGACTACCAAAGTACCAAAGTCTAACAATGTATTTCGAATGTTGGCAGTGATGTAGTCCGTTCTCTATCACTCCAGAACCATAGTGGACTGGAATAGGTATAGGTACCTCGGTATATTGATCGTCTTTGCCAATGATTGTCGTTCGCTAGAGAGTATCTGAGCAACAAGCAAACATATATTGAAATATATATATATGTATATATATACATGTATATATATATATATATATATATATGTATATATATATATGGAGATATATATATATATATATATATATATGTATATGTTAATTAATATATATATATATATATATACATATATATATACATATGTATATATATATATAATACTTATTTGTATATATATATATATATACATATATATATAGACATATATGTATATAGTACACATAAATATAGTATATATATACGTATATGTATGTATATGTATATAACTATATCTATACTTGTATATATATATATATATATATATGTGTGTGTGTGTGTATATAGTCTCTCGTTAGAGTAGCGGAGAAACATGTAACATTTATCGATATATATATATACATATATACATATATATAGGTTTTCGCTAGAGTAGCTGAGCAACAAGCAACATTTATTGATTGTCTTTCGCGAGAGTGCTCCTCATGCGCTTATTGAATATATTCACTGGTCGCCTGATAGTGCCCTTGGTTGCTCGTACTGTATTCGTTGTTTCATCATCACTATCACCTTGGCTTTTCTTTTTCCTTTTACCTGTACCTGATTACATTGAGTAGCAGATTCTGATATCAGTTTCATGTGCAGAGGTTCTTTACACATAGTCGAACACCATCCTGATCATTATCGCCACAGATCTACCAATTGACCACCAAGACCACACAGCGTTCTAGGCAAATGTCACAGGCAGATCAATACATATATACTAACTTCTGTTGAAAGTTATAGCAAACTAGAATATGCTCATCCAACAAGTCACCTGCGTTGCATATACAACAATCTATCGGCATATATTCTGCGCAGATGAGCATACAAACCTGATTTGACAGCATCTTCATTGCTAGCTGGTGTTTGGGTAGCTTCAACCCGTTTGTCTGTTGCTGACTGGGGCACATCGGCTTCATCGGGCGGACTCAGGCCTATTGCGCAGAAGGAAAAGATGCCCGATGATGTAAGTATGTATCAAGATTATTCCTATGCGTTAGTATGTTATAGTATAAATGATTTGTTTACTATATTCAAGGTATAATATTCCCGATTTGTGGACATATAGAGTTGCCAATAGATTCCGGACTCGCAGATGAAAGATAGCGGAATGGGAGTATAAAACTTGCTACTTGGTGGTTGAAACTCTGTAGATTGTTAAGTACCGAGTAACCACCTATCATGGCTAAGCTGGCAGCCAATCCGAAGCACAGCAATGTCAGTGATTCAACTAGAAGAGATGTGACCGTACACGTACACTCTGGAATTCCTAAGAACCTATCCAGACAATATATGCTGATGTGCTGGTATGCGGCGTCTTCGAGAGTGTGATCTACAGGAAGGTGCCCATAACCACGCTCACACAAAAACATTAAACACACAGAGCATCTGGTGTATTATCAGGCGGCATAATGAATGGCAGATCGCACTATACAAGGTGTAGTTATTCGTATTTACTTTATGCGGCAGATACATGTAACTAATATCAGACTAGCGAAGAGAAATATGCGCATATATATACTTACGTACGCATAAATATCGCCTTCATCAATCTACAGAAACAAAAGAGAAAAAACCATTGTATATAAATACTAATCGTATGTCGCCATACCTGTGATAATGGGTTCTACAATCATATATGGGCCTGTGAAGTTTATGGGCAGTGGCCTATAGGCTACGAACATGTTGTGATGCTCTATACATACATACACACATACACAAAAGCTGGTTCGTAATATACAGACACAGACTAGCACATGGTATAGACACATAACATATGTCTCCATACCCGCGAGAAACGCTTCTACATCGACATAAGGGCCTATGAAGTTCATAGGCGGTGGTAGATTGGCTAAGAGTGCTGTGATACTCTTCGGGCCAGTCAGTGGACCAACCACTCCTTGTTCGGGGTTGAAGTGGTCCAGACATTTCAAATCAGGTACAACAAAATCCTATATCGGGATGTGGAATGAGGGTGACCAAGTTTGGGGTTAAAGTGGTAAAAATTCATGTACAGAAACACGTTGTTGAAACTAGCATCTTACAGGCATGTCTATGACCTATGTTTGAATATCTGATTGAGTTGTTCTTGTGGTGCGTCGTACGTATGTTGGCTTAAGGCCGATTATGCCCCAAAACCATTGAGTTTCACCTGTCCGTTTGTCTTTGTGCACATACTCTGACCACCGACGTCTTAACGCCCGTTGTCGTATAGCCGGATGCAGCCATACGCTTTACACGAATACTACATTATATACCAAACCCTGAACCTCAAAAACCCTAAAATACATTCCACTACTTACGCTCTAAACGGCCATAACTGTCCTATCGGATGTATTTTGTTACACTCTGTAAGCGATCACTAAACCTGAACCTCCAAATCCCTCAAATACATTGACATTCTATTGATAATAATCTCTACTACTTACGCTGTTAATGGCCGATACGGTGTCGTCGATTGCCGCAACACTCTGCACGCCTTCCCCAGAGGACTCAGGAGCGAGTTTCTGATAGCCCATGCGTTCTAACTCGTTATCGTCAACGGGGTACAAGTCTAGATAGTGGTACCTGTCAATCGAGTGACATATGGCGTCTGTGGCAAATGCAACACACATAAGGAAAGGGAATTAGAGTACGAATTTGTGTTCACCCAAGCGTTCTGTCTTGGTGTCGTCCGCAGGATACAAGTCCAGATATTATGTATATATACATATATATATATATATATATAATATGCATATACCCATATAGTGGTAACTGCAATCGAGGGACATATGGCATCTGTAGCAAGCGCAAGGAGAAAGTGCATGAGTGGAGGGATTAGGAGAAGGCACTGGCATGAGTACAGAAGAGGGATTTACTAACACAGATGCATTCGAAAAACTTGTTAGGGTGAGTGGTTAGGCTCAAAGGTTGATTACGGGCGTGTATACAGGTGTATTCATACACTTCGTTAAAGACACGGGAATGAATGAATTGGAAAGCGAATGTCCGTACAAGACCATGTGCCTGTACAGTTGGCTCTAACACAAATTCGTTGACATGTATGTACACAACATGTATACACGGGTCTAAGAGCATGACCTGCTAGGAATGCGGATGAACAAAGTAAAACCTGACAATCAAGTGACAGAACGCAAACACACCTACAACATATATATATATATAAATAAATATATGTATGTATGTATATATA